GCATATCCACACGCCTAAGAACCCAATGAAACATCAAAACAAATGAAGCTAAATAATATCACACTGATGGTGCTAGAGATCAACCAGCTAAAAAAACCCATAAGCAAAAGTTCCTTGACAGGCATAAATATGATCGATACCTGCAATGTGTCTCTCACCTACACCAACAAGCATTACAACATGAGCATCATGGCCACCATCATGCATCTTCACGTCCACCCTACTCTTACTACTCCCATTCAATCATTTCCTGGAGCAATTCCAAACAAAATGGATGTTAAGTTCTGGCCAAAAGATCACAAATTCAACACGGTATGAACCCCCATAACCTGAAAACGAAAAGGATGATAAATTCAATCTCATTAAACTTCTAGTCATTACAAAGAAGGACCAAAGCACCATGAAAATGACTTTAACATTCCCTCCAGAACAACACAAACTTTCTGTGAACTAAAATATGTGATGACTGAATGAGACCTCAATTACGTCTCAGTTCAGCATTCAGACATCATCGGTTGAAATAAAAACAAAACCAATCAAGATTCTGAAGCAGTTTAGCCGCTGACTTTACCCTTCTCATTGATTTTAAGAGACTTTCAAATTATGGTGTGTTTTTCTAATCCACCTTCCTATCAAACCCCGAGAGCAGATTCCAGCAAATCTGTAAAACTCTATCTTCTCTAAACCACAAACTTCATATATTAAGACATCAATCAAATACATACAGCCATCTAAGCCTCTGAGGAATGTGGAAATGAAACACCATTTACAGTCCATAAGCACAAGTTTACATCATTAGTTATAAATTAATTCCATGTAAATGCATCAAGGCTATAACGATGGAGATAGAAGCAGATTCCAGCAAATTGCAGATTCTCACAACAATAAGGGATTAAGCCTCGGACATAATAAACACAATGCAAATTTTCTAACCGTTGTACCAAAATTGCATATTCTCGTAACCACGTTCTTTAGAATGCATCTTACAAATACTTGAATCGGAAAATCAACAAAAAAACAAAGGAAATAGTTCAGATGCAATTTTTTTTTATTATTATCGATGCCCCACTGGGGGTTACCTCTAACCTGTAGTGCAACACTCCAATCTGTAACCAAGCTGTTGAACACTGACATCTCTTCTTCCAAATATGGTTATCAAAGGGCAGAGATGCTTGTAAGTCAGCTTCAAAGGGTAGCTGCAAAGAACAAAATTAATGTGTAAATCAGGGAGTTGTTTTAACAAAAACATGAGAAAGACAAATAAAAAAAACTGAGTGGTAATAGTAAGTAGTGACCTGCTGGGAAGAGCACCAACAATTTGCTGTATTTGAAGGTAGTTGAAAAGACGGGCTAGCATGCCAAGCAGATTAACATCAATTGAACATCTTCATTTTAATATATACCATTAATAGACGCCTAATCTTAGAAGATTGAAACGGATGGCACCACTAATTACAGACGAAGGGAAATAAACACAGAAATATGAAATTGAGATCACCACACTACATGTCAGTAGGCAAAGAGGTTGAGGTGGAGCTAGCTAGAGAAACTTAAATTTGGTTTCAGCGACCTGATGTCATGCCTCTTTCTAGAACTAAAAATCCCTATCCATGATCAATGTGTTAAACAATAATTCTTGACCAAAAGCAGACGCTGCAAACCATAAATACAGTATCAGTAAAGTGAATGGCCTGTAGTTTCCAGGCTCATAACAGTTCTAAGCAACCTGATGCAGGTGCGGTGTTTTGAAATTAAAAGCATCCTACTGTAATCAAGGAGGACATAAATATTTTTCCTTGAAATTAGTAATCAACAAAAGTGCAAAGTGCAAAGGACGTGAATTATTACCAAAGTAATGTTTTACAGAGATAGTTGAAATCAATACCGGAAATAATAAGGTTTAATTAAAGCATAACCTGCACAATCATCGAGTTTGTTTTTATCTCGTGGAGGGGAAGACATTCCAGAATTGCAGAGTTTCAGCTGCTGCTTTAGTAACCATTGACTGTAAACAAAACAAAACCTTTAAAGTTTCAGTTTTAGTTCCTGATCCAGGTACATGAGGCTCTTACTCCACATAACTTGTAAATGGGATTATAAATTAAGAGGGAACATATACCATGAATTGAGGCAGAACAAAACCAAATCTTCTACCACAAAAAGCAAGAAGAGGAGCTATAATTGAAAAAGTCAACCTTTGTTGGATTAATGTGGTGATGGATAAGAATTTCTACTGAACCGTATCATTAGAGAAGAACAGGAAGCAAAGACCCAAACAAAACCAATGTAACATAAAGGAGACCAACATTGAACCCACAATTAACTCAAATTCTAAAACTGGCCTGCAATCACAACATAAGGAGATGATAGAATGCAGCTCTCGAAAAGAAATGAACCATGATTTCGCGTTACGATTGAAAGAAATTATACAATGTTTCTTCCTAGATTTAACTTTATTTGTGATTGAAAAATGAAGAGGCATGAGCATGAGAAATAAACAGAGTTGAGACTGTAACATACATTAGCACAGGTCGAAGCCAATTTGTACACAAATATAATCCAATCGCACATGAACTAACTACAGAAATGAGAAACTAAAAACAGAAAAGAACTACCTGAATACCAGAATCAGTGATGCCTCTCATTCTTTTTCTTTCATCTTGTCTCTCTTGCTGGAGGTACAGGTGGAACTGAGAGGAAAGTATCGATATATGCCTTCTCCACACTAACCGCAGCAAACCCAACAGACCATAACCCTTGGATGGTCTGAGAAAGAGGTGTCATTGGAGCTGGAAAGAAAGACAAGACATCAATGGGAATAAGTCAGCACTGCATCCGAACATCCCCGATTACCAAACTAACCGAGCACAATTGTAAATCATGTTCAATGAGCACAATATCTACAAATGACATCCAACACAGATAACATGCGTTGTGCTATCTCCTCCAGAGTCGCTGATGGGGCCAACACTTCACCGTCATCCAAAAACAGTCACAGAAAATCTCAAGATGGAGGCCATCAAAGAAGAATTATATAAAACCTCATGACTCTTATTAGATAAAACACACACGCAAACAAATGATATTGCCAAGGTCCAAAGCATTAAACTTAACGAAACGAAAGGTATTGTTCCAATTGGGGAAAACATTTGGGAAGCTGAAAACTTGCAAAAAGAAACAAACTAAAGCCAATCAAAACTACATGAATGTATACTGTGTGATTTAATAGTCTTGTAAAAAGCTATAAAATCAACCTCCCTCTATAATCCAAACAATTGGAAACAAACAAAGCAAACATGATCCTAGCTCCATCATCAATTAGTATTTTCTGGTCCCTCACGGAAAGCAACCAAACAGAGACTAAAGAAGTAAAAAGATGCATCATGATTGTGAACAGAAAATGGAGAGATGAAGAGCAATAAAGACCTTTGTTCCAAGGGTGAGGCTTCTCATGTGCAGTGATTTCCAGCCGCGACATTCTTGTCCGTTCAATTTAAAAAGAGGGAGACATCTGAAATGGAAAGAGGTAATCAGTTTGAATCAAGAAATGGCTATTAACAACTGGAATTAGGTATATCAAACCAAGTTAAGACTAAATCATAAATCAGCAAGCCAAAGAATTTACAATAGCGACACGAAAAGGATCACAGTCTAACATTATTGCCATACTTGAAGAGAAGAGAAGTTTTATTTGGCAGCAATGGTAAAAATGGCATTCTTGAACAGGTTAAAACTCAAATCCAGCTGTGGCATAACCTATGAGAGGATAGACAATTAGAATCAATAAGAAAAATACTTACGCATTAGTGTGCATAGCCACTAACGGAAGATCCAACAAAAGCTGCTTTCTGACAACTCTCATTGATTTCCATCACAACCAATCACCTGTCATCAAATTGAAATGGACTTAATGTTAGGATCGTCAATGAAGAAATGAAAAACCATCCAAAAACGGCAGGACGTCCAAACGCAGTAAGAATCACAAAGAGTAAATTGTGCAATCTTCACAGGATAAAGAGAAGGGTATCGTTAGTTTGTTACTCATATCTAGTGTCGGAGCTCCTAACCAATGGTAGAGCAAATAACTACACCATTCCCAACTCGAACAAGACCTAAGGACTCAACCAAGCAGTAAAAAGTGCAAACTGGAAAGCCAATGTTAAAGTAAATAGCTCACCACAACTATCAGCAAATACCATTAATTCGTCTCCTCTCAATGTAAGTTGTCAATCCTTTCTCTCTTTCCTGCTTACCTCTATGTTTTGGCGCTACATTTTCCAAGGATTATTCTTTCCTAACAAAAATGCACAATAGGTTTTGTGAGTTAGTTTCCCTCCATTCAGTTATCACCGTCTCAAGCAAATGCATAATAAAGCTTATATATGTGCCTGGGATGCACATCAACTGGAAAAGTAAACCCTTAAGACTCTTATTATAAAATTGATTGTAAAGTTAAAGTAACCATAAACCAGTAAAAGCATATGAATCAAAAGACGAAGGAAAAGGGTTGAAGAAACTACTGCATGATCGACATCACAGATCCATGGTACACGACCTCCACCAGTTGGGAATGAGGTGATGAAAAAGGTGATCATCAAACTGTCCTTTACATCCAAAGACCGAGTTACATCTAGTGAGAACCGAAAAGGTAAAAGACATGCCATCAGCAACACCATTCCTAAAGAAGGGACATAGTTTCATGGAATATTTCAGTTCCTTCCTACCCGGGAAAACTCAGAGATCAAATTTGATGGTATACTTGCCTGAATATAGCACTCAAGAACAACACCATTCTTCGCAGTAAGGGTTTCTTCTTCATTGCTTTCCTAGTCTTCGAATCTATTTTCTCAATTACTTCAGTGATCTATCACTCTTCAACAACATAATGGATCAGCAGAATCGCTTTTAAACAGCTATTAAAATTTCCTACAGCAGATAATGCATGTGTTGCTTCAAATACCATTAACAACAGCAACTAAATAGAGAACAGGGAGACCAACTTACATGATCCAGCAGGTCAAGGATCTGCATCAGAGAACAAATCAATGGATGCATAAAGTTTTCATCAACTTTTAAGAGTCGAATAAATTAGATCATGTACGTACTGAGTTAGGCAGAATAACTTACCACCGATATAAGCATGCTATTATTCGCCTGATTTCTTGCCACTCAATTCTCCCCTCGACTAATATTAGTTGTTCCATACTGTTTCTCTGGCGTTTGTCCTTTTTGAGCTTGTTACTAAGCTGCAGCATCTGAAGAGTCCTGTAAAATCGAATCTGTAGCATCAGAAGGACACAATTAGTTTTGATTCCATATTGCTTGGACCGTGAAATATATAAATTAAGGTCCGGGATTAAGTACAAAGACACCAATCGACAGTGCATAGGAACTGAATCTCAGGATATGATAAAGGCAGGGCGTTCGTTGATAGGCAAGAGATGAAAGGAACTGATACTCAAACGTGAATTGGGTTTGAAGAGAAGTTTTAAACCAAGAAAAAATACTAAAGTAAAGTTGACCCAAAGTTCAGTCAATTTACAGCAAACATGACACAATATCATTTCAGAATGACAAATGTGTGACTCCAACTCACCAAAATCATGACAAATATAGATTAATGGTGATCGAGATGGTCTGATGGCATTTTCATGGTACAGTAAAGGATAAAAACTTGAGACTTTGTATAAGAGTTTCCTACAATAAGAAAGGAAAGAGACCTTACCGGTCAGCTCCTGCAAGAGAAGAGGTTTGATTTTCTTTGTTATTCTGCGCCCTCTCCTTTTCTGGAAGAGAAGTCTGCTCGATTCTCAGTTCCCTTACCGTTCTTCTTCGCAGTCTTCTTGTGTCTCCTCCGCAACCTTCCACTTTTTCTTTGTCGCCTTTGCTGTCCAACAAAACAGTGAGAAAGAGAGAAAGTAAATCCACAAAGATGAAAAACAGAGAAAGGGGAAGAGAAGAAGATTGGAGCCAGCCACCTATGTTACTTTCTCAATTCGCTGCCGCCCCACCCTAGAAACGATAGACAAACCTGCCAGCCGCCTATGTTGCTCTGTCCAGAATGACTGAAGAAGACCGGAGCCAGCCGCCTCTTTTACGTTCTCAGTTTGCTGCCGACCCACCCTAGAGACGAACGACAAACCTGCCAACCCTCCATGATTGCTCTATAGGGGATGACTGCCTCTGTTGGAGAAGAAGATCAGAACCGCTCCGGTCCACCTCCATTAGGCAATCGAATCGTTAGGGAAGAGAAGAAAGAAGAAGCGTAAAAGCCCCTGTCATGTCACCCGACCCTTCCATAACGAACCAAAGAACAAACCATATATTCTTCTTCACCTTCGCGTCTTTTCTGCCGGCTTCATCGTCCAACAAAAGGAAGAGAGAAAGCAGATCTGCAAAGCGAGAAAAGAGAGGGACAAAAAAATCCATGAAGTAAGATACTGAAACATCAGGATGCAGACCCAAAAATCAAGTAAGCGAAGAGGAAGTCTGAAAGCGGATGTCAATGAAGGAGAGGCTAGAAACCTACCACCACTACTAACCCAGGCCTGGCTGCCTCTCCCGTTTGTGTAAACAGAGTTCATTTTTCTCGTTGTTTGTTTCACTTCCATAGCCATAGTCTATTTTCGTTGGCATCCCTTGATCTGAAAAGAATGGGGAAGATGATGAATCAAACCAATAAAATACAATAGGCCAAAACCCAAAATTAGATTCTACCTTCGAATCCTCCATGTTCTTCTTTGGGATCTCCTCATCCTCGGCCTTCTTCTTCACCGAGTCCTTTCTTTTCTTATTCTGCTCTACTTTGTGTGTGTCATCGTCAATAAGTAAGTGGGAGGTTGAGTTGCACACCAGCGTCATGGTGCAGGTGGGTTGAGAAAGAGCTTCATGTTTCATTTTTCTCGTTGAATCCTCTGTAAATGTCATCTTCTTCTAGAGCCATGGAGGGAGATGAATATGGACGGTGAACAAAACCAATCTACATGTGAAAACTCTAAAATTAAATCAGAAACGACTTCATATCCATACCTAATTATGGAGATCATCAACTCACCTCTACCACCGCCGGTAACCACCACCACCACCTTTGTCGGCGTCACCGCAACCGCTACCAAATACCGAATCTAACCTTCACCTCTTTTAACACAAAGCAAAAACCCATACACTATCCCCATTCCCCACCACCCCTGGCCGCCGACGACCACATGCTCTCTCTCACTAATCATGTCTTGTCGTCTTCTCCAGGCTCGCCTGCAACTCTGTCGACGAGGCCTCCCGCAACCGCCTCAGCCTTCTCTCCTAAAACCTAGCTGTTGATATACAGGTTTGGATGGCTCTCCTCTCCTCCTACGTTCTTCTTCTTCTTTGGCTGCTCCTCTTCTCTTCTTTCACGTTCTTTCTTCTTCTTCTATTACTCAATCAGTTTTCAGTCACTGAGAGAGAAGGAGAGAGGGAGAGTAATGGATTGGTGAGTGGAAAGAGGAAAAGTGATGGTGAGAGAGAAGGAGAGAGGGAGAGTAATGGATGAAATTAAATGCAATGGGACAGGAGTAGAGAGCTAATTACAAGAGTGCCATTGGTTTGATGGGAGCCGCCTGAACGCGTCAGAGAAAATGTCAGTCAAATACAAGAGGGGCAAAAAAGCAAAAGGAATAACAATGGCGGGATGTGACTCTAAGAAACAGTAAAGTTGTAACTTGTTCTTTTAAAGAGATAATATCCCGCAGGCTGTTTTTTGGGCTATAAATTGGCACTCACTCCCCCATCTTCCCATTTGTGTATCATCGTGATTTGCTTCATTGCTTTCCCCCCCTCCCTTCATTTCATTGGTTTTGCGTTCAGTCCGTTGTCTCGTTTCATTTGGGTAGGAGCACTCTGCTTCTCTCTTCTTTCCCACTTACTTCACACTCTCGTGTCTTTCCTCTGTTTTCCGTTTCCCCCACTTTGGATTCCCCAGCAGCTACCAGAAAAGTTAGTGGTGGGCAAAAATGTCCTTGATCAGAGTGTTTGTGTTCCTGGGTTTTGACGCAAATCCTCGATTGGTCATTGCTTTCTGTGCTCTAACTATGCATCTTCTCCGCTTCTTACAAAAAGAAGAATAATAAAAAATAAGATCATTAAGCTTAACACACAAGCAGAAAACAGAGACTTTGACTAGTAACCCAGTCCACAGGAATCCATTCTAGTTCTAGTCTCTAAAACCACTACTTTCAACTACTGGTCCAGAAGGAAGAATCTGGTCTCATTCTTTGCTTTCTCAGCTCTAATCGCAACCAAATTTCTGCATTCTAGTTTAATGAGAAAGTTGGGTTGTTTTTGGTGAAGTCGGGTTTCAGTTTCTTTCATCAACGTGATATCATTTAATTTGCTGTGCCGTGCTGCACATATAATGATGTTGACTTATATTTTCTCTGTTTGCTTCCTTCTCCTCCATCTTTAACTGGGTCTGCTCTGTTTTTTTTCCTTTCTTCCTTTCTTTTGAAGGTCCCTCTGTTTTCTTCGATTTCACTGTTGGCTGTAACCGAGAAAAAGAAGAGGAGCCATGGCTGCTGCTGATCGCGTGATCACTCGCGTCCACAGCATCAAGGAGCGATTCGATGGCACACTCGCTGGCAACCGGAACGAGCTCGTCTCTTTGCTCTCCAGGTAAACTCCCGCTCCCCCCCCCCCCCCCTGCATTTGCGATCGTCGTCTACAATGGTTTTGATTTTCGTTTCGTTTCATCGCAGGATCGAGGCAAAGGGAAAGGGGATTCTCCAGCACCACCAGATCATTGCGGAATTCGAAGCCATCCGTGAAGAAAACCAGAAGGTTCTCCAGGAAGGCGCGTTCGCTGAGGTTCTCAGATCCGCACAGGAAGCGATCGTGCTGCCGCCCTGGGTTGCTCTGGCGGTGCGCCCCAGGCCGGGCGTCTGGGAGTACTTTAGGGTCAATCTCCATGCTCTGGTTGTTGAGGAGCTCACTGTTCCTGAGTACCTTCACTTCAAGGAAGAGCTCGTTGATGGAACGTGAGTTCCCCTGTTTTTTTTTTCTTTTCTTGTTAATTTCGTTTCGATTGTATTCCTAGACCTGTATTAATTGTTAGTCTCTTGTGATGGTGGCAGTGCTAATGGAAATTTCGTGCTGGAACTGGACTTCGAGCCGTTCAACGCCTCTTTCCCTCGCTCGACCCTCTCGAAATCGATCGGCAATGGCGTCGAGTTCCTCAATCGCCACTTGTCTGCCAAGCTCTTCCATGACAAGGAGAGTATGCACCCTCTCCTCGAGTTCCTCAAGGTTCACTGCCACAAGGGAAAGGTAAAAAAAATGCCAAAAACTTGGCTCTTATCGAGTTTATTATTACAGTTTGGTCCCGATAACTCGATCCTGTGGTTGTTGTTTTGTGGCGCGGGCAGAACATGATGCTGAACGACAGGGTTCAGAACTTCAATTCGCTGCAATACGTGCTGCGGAAGGCAGAGGAGTACCTGACCACGCTACCTGTCGAGACGCCTTACTCCGAATTCGAGCACAAGTTCCAGGACATGGGGCTGGAGAGAGGGTGGGGCGACACTGCGGCTCGTGCGCTCGAGATGATCCAGCTGTTGCTGGACCTCTTGGAGGCGCCCGATCCTTGCACGCTCGAGACATTCCTCAGCAGGATCCCGATGGTGTTCAATGTCGTCATCATGTCGCCCCATGGTTACTTCGCGCAGGACAATGTGCTTGGTTACCCTGACACCGGCGGCCAGGTTGTGTACATATTGGATCAAGTTCGCGCTTTGGAAGAGGAAATGCTGATGCGCATCAAGCAGCAAGGCCTTGACATTACCCCTAGGATTCTCATTGTATGTTCCTTTCTTTTTTCGGTCTTCGAATCTCTGGCTTTTTTTAGTGCTTTCTGGGAATTGGAATGATGGTGTGTGTGGAGGTTATGTGCAGATCACTCGTCTCCTTCCTGATGCGGTTGGAACCACTTGCGGGCAGCGGATGGAGAGAGTGTATGGAACCCAGTACTCCGATATTCTTCGAATTCCATTCAAGACCGAGAAGGGAATCGTTCGCAAATGGATCTCTCGATTCGAAGTGTGGCCTTACCTGGAGAAGTTCACTGAGGTTGGTTTGATCATCTACCCTTTTATAACATGGGAACAAAGGTTACTGAACTCTTGATATGAATGCAGGATGTTGCTATTGAAATTGGCAAGGAGTTCCAAGGGAAACCCGATCTCATCATCGGAAACTATAGCGATGGTAACATCGTTGCCACATTGCTATCCCATAAGCTGGGCGTCACTGAGGTTTTCTTCCTTCTTTTTTCCTTAAACATGGATGGCGTGGATCAGAGAATGAGTTGTGTTTTGGCTGATCGTTGGATTGCCTTTGTTGCAGTGTACAATTGCTCACGCTCTGGAGAAAACTAAGTACCCAGAGTCAGATATCTACTGGAAGAAGATGGACGAGAAGTACCACTTCTCGTGCCAGTTCACCGCGGATCTTATCGCCATGAACCATGCCGATTTCATCATCACCAGCACATACCAGGAGATTGCTGGAAGGTGGGTGGATCGTCGATTGCCTTTTCTTCAAATTTTCATTTCGATTATGGAGGGAAACTCTGCCAATCGTGTATGTAACATTTTCGTGATTGATGTGTTCGATTGAACAGCAAGGACACCGTGGGACAGTACGAAAGCCACACCTCGTTCACCCTGCCGGGGCTCTACCGTGTTGTTCACGGCATCAACGTCTTCGACCCCAAATTCAACATAGTCTCCCCTGGAGCCGACATGAGCATCTACTTCTCCTACACCGAGGAGAAGCGCAGGCTCGAGCATTTCCACCCCGAGATCCAGGAACTCCTCTTCAGCGACGTCGAGAACAAAGAACACTTGTGAGTTCTCGTTCCACCCCTCGCTTTCGTTTCAATCCCCTCGATTACTTGACCCGCAAGGCTCGTTGTTAATCATCGCCTCTAAACGAATCTCTCCACACGCACGCACACACAGGGGAGTGCTCAAGGACAAGAACAAGCCGATCATCTTCACGATGGCGAGGCTGGACAGGGTCAAGAACCTGACCGGGCTGGTGGAGTGGTACGGCAAGAACAGCAGGCTCCGCGAGCTGGTGAACCTCGTGATCGTGGGGGGAGACAGGAGGAAGGAGTCCAAGGATCTCGAAGAGCAGGCCGAGATGAAGAAGATGTACGGCTTGATCGAAGAGCACAAGCTGCAGGGGCAGTTCAGGTGGATCTCCTCCCAGATGGACAGGGTCAGGAACGGCGAGCTGTATCGTTGTATCGCGGACACGAGAGGGGCGTTCGTGCAGCCCGCGCTGTACGAGGCGTTCGGGCTCACGGTCGTGGAAGCCATGACCTGTGGGCTGCCTACATTCGCCACAAACAACGGTGGGCCGGCTGAGATCATCGTCCATGGCAAGTCGGGGTTCCACATTGATCCGTACCACGGGGATCAGGCTGCTGAGCTGCTGGTTAACTTCTTCGAGAAGTGCAAGACCGATTCGAACCACTGGGACGAGATCTCGCTGGGCGGCCTCCAGCGAATTCAAGAGAAGTAAGTTCGTCCGTGTGGTTTTTTTTTTTTTTTGGTCTTTAGTTACAAGTCTCGACATTGGTAATTAATTGGTACTTAATAATGGTTTCAATGTATAGGTATACTTGGCAGATATACTCGCAGAGGCTGCTGACACTGACTGCAGTGTACGGGTTCTGGAAGCACGTTTCGAACTTGGATCGACAGGAGAGTCGACGATATATCGAGATGTTCTACGCTCTGAAGTACCGTAAACTGGCTGAAGCTGTGCCTCTGACGGAGGAGTAAGGTGGGAAATGGGGGAAAAAGGAGTGGTCTTTCATTGTGTTGTGGTGATGACTGGTGATGACTGATGATGAGTGAACAAGAACAATGGTGTCGTCACAGTGGTTGAACAAAAGCTCTTTGTTTCTTTGGGTATTTGTAGTCTGTCGCTGTTTTCCCGCATTTCTTGTTTAGGTTTGGTATTGTCGCCTGTTTCAAGGTGCAGAGAGTGAGCCCAATGAGAAAGTTGCATTGAAGCTGAGTTTTTTCCATTGCTTCCTATTTCGAGTGCTTACAATTATGGCTTTCTGGTAGTATTGTTATGTTTGGTTGGGTTTGGCCATTTTCTTTATGAGTGGGAGATGGGGTCCAAAAATTTGTGGTGATGGAGAAAAGCATTGGAGACAGAGTGAAGATCACTGAAGAACTTTCACGAGAAATCAATTAGTTTAATTCAAGTCTGTTTAAGTGGTCTACTAATCTGCTAAAGGACCCCACCAAAAGATTTGCAAACTACTAAGGACGGATGAGTTTTTTTTTTTTTTTTTTTTTTTTTTTGACGGGAGGACGGATGAGTTTGTTGGTTGTTGGCGACCAGCTGTTTTCATTTTTCGGGGGTTGGTGGATGAGAAATACAAGTAAACCCTAAACAGACTAATTCCAATTAAACTAATACTATACTAGCTTGTATAGCTTGTAATCTCTTAACCTGATCAAGTCATTTTAGACAGGCTAATCGGAAGATGATTAGTCTTCATCGGGATAGAAAGCTAAGGCAATTAACACAGAACTCCACTACTGGAATCATATTCCAGTACAAAGCAGTGAATTGATTAACTCTCATATAATCGTTTCACTTCTATCGATTAAAGAAGCTCTAACAACCTAATCAGATTCTATCTATCTCAGTTTGCAGTAGGGATGACAATTACCCACCCATGGGTAATTATACCCAAACCCAAGTAGATCCATTGATAATGGATTGGGTATGGGTGAAGTGCATATGGGTTTGGGGGGGTTTGTAGATGGGTTTGGGCAAGGTATGAATATTGCTTCCATAATCTAAATGGGTATGGGTTAGATATGGATATCCATTTACTTGAGGGTGTTTTAACTACACATGCAAAAATTGGACCTATTTGTAAAACTTGAAAATTTTAGGTACCAAAATGTAAGACCAAAAAAATTTAGGTACCAAAACGTAATTTTCCATCGATATTTTGAGGACTTATATGCAAAAAAAATTAAATTTAGGTACTAAATATGCATATTTATTAAGTTTAGGTACCAAACTGTAATTTGCATTTGGGCATGGGTACAAACCCAAATCCATTTGTTATAAACCCAACCCAACCCAAAGTAAATGGGCATGGGTACAAACCCATCAAACTCTACCCATATCCATCTATTTGGATTTCATACCCAACCCAATTGGATTGGATAGTTAAAAACCCATGGATATGGGCAAAATTGCCATCCCTAGTTTGCAGCAGAAATCAAAAGAAGTTGATCAGGATTCAATTGACTAAAAAACACACTTCAATCAATTATAATCAAACAGTATATCAATCCAAACGTCATCACAATCAAGATCCCTAACACATAGAACTAGAGTTCTTCATACCCAAGTGAGAGAGAGAGGAAAACAAAAATCAAAGCAGTCATACTCTTAAAGATGGGAATAATCTGCTCTAGGATGTCAATCTTCACTCCTGGGGATGCAATCTAGGCTCAATGGCGAAAAATCCACTCCAAATAGTTCATAGGGTTTGTTTTTCGCACTCTCTCTCTCTAGAAATCCGTTTTTGCTCCAAAAAGTCGAATCCCCTTCTCTCCCCGAAACTGCCAGTTTAACCCGATACTGGGCAAAACACTAGCGTGAACACGGCCGTGTCCAACTTATCCTGCCGGTGTTTTGCTAAGTCACGTTGGACAGCTCAAAGTCAGCTCTCGACATAAAAAGCACTAGCCTGGTACACGACCGTGCTTTGGGGCAATGACGCTCGTGTTCTGCCCTTTCTTCGACTTGACTAGCGCACTAAAAAGCACTAGCGCGCTCCCTGGTAAACATGGTCGTGTTCTTGAGTGAGGCTGCCCGTGTTTTGCTCCAGCTCCACTTTTGGAGAGGTTTTTGAGTGACAAAACGACCTCCGATTGACCCAAAACTTGTGCCTATGCTTTCCTTTACTCAATAGGATCTAAAATATGACAAAATAACACAACCTAGCGTAAAATAGGTCAAAGACACATGACTACGAGCCAAAACGGATAAGAAACGAGGGTGCAAACATGTGCAAATACAACGTTATCAAATTCCCCCGCACTTAACCGTTTGCTTGTCCCCAAGCACACCTGACTCAATCAAATGCAGCTCTCCAGACCTTTACAGCAACTTGCAACCCCGATCGTCGGTAGATGATTTCCTAGTTCATTTAGCAACTTACGAGGTCAATTGGTCTTCTAAGATGTCCCCTATATCTCTCAATGCGAGTACTAGACTCAAGCCAGGATCATGAGAAGCAGTGGAACTAAGACAACCAATTCATGGATAAGGAGACTCACACAATTTCACGACCAAGAACTTTTTGTATCGGGTGCTCTTTCATTTCATCTCACTTGTTGGAACCCCCTTTTCCTTATTATTTGTTTCTTTTTCTTTTGTTTTACTTTGCTCGGGTTCCAACTACAGTTTTTATGCGCGGTCGACCCTTTTTGGGTGAGTAAGAGCAATTTCTGTACATCTGTCGCTCGCTAGAGCACTTCTTTTAACTCCTATTCCTCACTTCGTGTGGATGGTCAATGAAATTAAGTGGGGTCGGAAGCTCTATCCGTGCCCTTAAAAGCACATCCTCTAGTAGGCAAACCGTTCAACGGGTGGAATTTTTACTTGTACTAAAGACGACTTAGTTTCACCTTGTAGGCGTATCCCACTAAGGATCACTAAAATCTCTTCCAAAACTCAATTTAGTGCAATGAACGGAGCCACACACGTTTGGCTTACCACATGTTTTAAAATTTAAAATTTTTGACAAGGAGGACCAACTGCTTTTTCATTTCACACTTGAGCACCCTTTTTTAATACACGAGTCCACAAGACAACATAATGAGAGTCATCAATACCACATGAATCAACGGTCCTAAATCCACTAGTTCACAAAATCAACCGACACAACAGAGAGACAGATAGAAAAAATTTTATACTTCAACATCCTCCATAGTGCTACAACTACCTCCCTAGGTTGCATATCACCATAAAGACTATCAATTCAAAGCATAATGAGCAGGTTATTGCAAGGAACAGTACTTGGAGCCCTCAATTCATCAAATTGGACAGTGGACTAGGCTCCAAGCACACAAACTCATCTATGCAGTGATAGATAAACACCCCCCCCCCCCCCCACACACACACACTTAAGCACGACATTGCCCTCAATGGAGAAGAGGGAAAGATAAGGGGAACACGGGTAGGGAACACATCCCTGTTACTGGCCATGTTACCCCTGTTGTCTCCAATTATTGCCATTCTTGCCTCTATCCGTCCCGAAACTCGTCCTCGACCTTCCCAAACGTACTAGGACTTGAAATGTAACCAAAGAAGCACAAACTAGAGTAAAATAGATTGAGTAACGACGATTTCAAAGTCAAACAATCAAGATATAAGGTGGTAAAAGATGTGTAATGATGCCCGAATTAACGTTCCTTGTCAGTGGTCCGGATTGCCATCTGCAACCAATCGCGTCGCAAGGAAACAGTAAACACGAAGTGCGTCCCCCAAACGCTATCTGATGCTCGATCGCGTTCCATGTCAGCGATTCGTGCCAATTGCAGTTCCTTAATGCGATCAAACCTAATCGCTCTTCTCGTCTGCAATGTTGGTATAGATCGCTTTAGTTAAAAGCGATTTGAGAAAATATGTGTAGAATGAGAAATCTTATAAAAATTATTGTATTTTGAGAATTTTTTTTAGAAAATGTGTGTATTTAGAGAAAAAATCCGTTAAAATTGATTTGAGTTTTAATTTTCATGGGCGAACCGTGCGACATATGAACCTATCCTACTTGGAATGAATAATAATCGGAGTAGCTTGGTGACGGCGACGTGATCGCCGACATCCCAACGTCTTCGAGCTCAGCCTAGTTATTCTGCTAACTTGAAAATTCATTAGTATATACTAACTAATATCCAAAATGTATGAACTAATATCCAAGTCTGCTGAGTATCTAGATAGTACAGACTAGTATTCTAAACATCACAAACTAGTATCCAGATAGCAGATACCAACTAATATCCACAATTAACCAACTAGTATTCAATATGGATACTATTTTGTGTTATCTGGATACTCTTATGTGTTATCTGGATACTAATTATGTGTTGTATGGATAGTATTCTGTGTTGTCTAGATATTAGTTTGTGAATTTGAGATAATAGTTGATTCATGGTGGATTTCAATTAGCAAACTTTGAATACTAGTTTGTGCTCTCTAAATACTTTAGTACTTGGATACTAGTTCATGTATTTTGGATATCAGTTAGTATCTGCTAACGAATCTTCAGGTTAGCAAATTAACTTTTCCCCTTCGAGCTAACAGCGAAACCGAAACGCCCTCCCTCCCTCCTTCCCTCGGACGAAGAAAGTTTCTTTTATACCAATTTTCCTTCTCTTGCTTGCAATTTGGGTTTCAGATCTCATAATCTCACCTAGAAGTAAGATTGACCTTTCGGAGAGTGACATATATGTCAGATATAAAATAATCAACCAAACGTTGCTTCAGCCTTCCCTGCAAATGCACTCCACCATTCCCATTTCCTCTTCAACAACCAAGATTCCACCCGATACTGATTTCATACATCTCACCACCTCAAACCAAATGCGAGACCCCAGTGCATCCATTTCCAAATCCCTCACATCCTCGCCCATCCATCTCTGATTCAGCTCTCTAAAATCGGGAGAAACCCAAAAATCTAATCTTTCAAGTGTAGCCTGAAAAGTTCACAGCTTTGTGTAGCTCTGTGTCTACTGGATTGAACCAGAGAACTACCATGGTGGAGACCTCGCAACCGCTGGGGCGGTTCCAGTACCAGAGGCTCGAGTTGAAGCGATGCGTCCCAACATTTCTTTCTTCCCACAAAACCCTCTTCACCGTCTTGTGGATAGCCGCCTTTGGCTCCGTCTTCCTCTGGCAGCGGAATGCCGTCGGCGGCGGAGGGTTCAATATCTTCTGGCGGGCGCCCGTCCGGCCGATGCCCAAACTCCGGCCGTTTGCTTTTAATCTGACCGATTTTGGTGGGGTGGGCGATGGAGTCACTGTGAATACCGCTGCCTTCGAGAGGGCTGTTTCGGCGATCTCAAAGCTCGGGAAGAGAGGCGGTGGGCAGCTGAATGTGCCTCCAGGAAATTGGCTCACTGGACCCTTCAATCTCACTAGTCACATGACTTTATTCCTTGCTGAGGATGCTGTTGTACTTGGAATTCAGGTAAGTTTCTTTCCTTTCTCTCTTGCTTCACCTCTGCTTTTTACCTGAGTTTATCTGTATCGGTTTAACACGACCCTACAACTAGCTTGCTTAGAACTGGACCTTTGAGATCCAAAATTGGCCGGATGCCTATGAACTTTACACACAAGGCTGCTACTCAGATATCGAGCACTTGCTTATCATTATGCATTTTGATAGAGAACTCAATCATGGAGAGAGGAGAGTGCATTGATGGTGTTCTAACTGTTCAGTTTTGTGATTAGAATTGGCATACTTCTTTTGTTTACCTCACTTTGATATCATCATGAAAATTTCCCATCTCTATCTGACTATAAACTACACGGATCCATGTAAATTGAAGCTTTTTGTTTATTGAGCAATAGGATGAGAAGTTTTGGCCGCTTATGCCTCCATTGCCGTCCTATGGGTATGGGAGAGAGCATCCTGGTCCTCGATACGGGAGCTTAATTCATGGTCAAAATCTCAAAGATGTTGTCATCACTGGTCAGTCAATTCATCTTATGCAATTCCACTGCCCATTGAATTCAGTTGCATGCTCTGTCAAATGTTATCTTTGACTCCTTTAAGCTGGAAGTTTATGTTGTGAGATTGTGCTTTGGACTTTAAGAACTGCTCTTGGACAGGCCACTAACATTATATGCCAACCATATATGTTTTTTGATTCTGGTGATAGAAAAGTAGGTAAACTTAACGAACCTATATGGCCTAGCAACTATAATCAGATGTAGCCCGAAACCGTACCCTGGGGAAGAAATGTTGTCAACAGATCAAGAGTACATCAGTTATACTAGCCTATAAGGTTCATGTGAATGGATTTTTATGCCATCATTTGTAAAGCTGTACAAGGACTCCACACATGGTCTGGTGAGTCAGATGACTCGGATTTCCTGAAACTAATTGGATCGGACTCTCTTGCCTGGTCCAAGGTTCACTGACATATTTCTGTATCACCATAGTCCATACTATACTTTTATTTGTTTGTATTGGAAAACTTTTAATTCGCATTTATGAATTTGATCAAGGGATGTTTTTATTTTAATGTTGAGTTATTTGTCAATTTGGAAGCTCAAGATGAAGGTACTGATGAATAAGGGGAAATACTTGGATTTGACCCCTTCCCATGATTTCTACTTGAGCTTATTCTTAAAGCTTTATTATTATAGTGCCAGAACTGTCATTCTCCAACCTGTATAACAGAAGTCTTGGATTTGTCTCTTATTCACACCACAGATTAGTAAACTTGCAAATAATTAGCCTTCCATGTCACTGTTTATTCAATGATGCTGCCTAAATTTGCTTAAAAAAAATACTCAGAAGGGTCTTCCGTTGTTGGCATCTAAAGAACTGTAATGTGATTTTTACTGAAAGTTAAGTGGTCAAAGAGATCATGAGGCATACTTTTCTGTGGACAAGATTGCTAGGAATCTTGAATGCGAGTATTATTTATCAAACGGTTAAGTGCAAAGTCAGAGTGATCTGATATTATGTTGATTGATCAACAGGACACAATGGTACCATAAATGGCCAGGGTCAAACATGGTGGAAGAAGTACCGCCAGAAGCTACTCAACCACACTAGGGGTCCTCTTGTTCAAATAATGTATTCAAGCAATATAGTGATCACTAACATAACCTTGCGTGATTCCCCATTTTGGACTCTCCATCCATATGACTGCAAGAATGTAACAATAAGGAATGTTACGATTTTGGCTCCCATATTCGAGGCTCCAAACACTGATGGAATTGATCCTGGTAAGCATTCATGGCTGTTCATTTATGTCAATTCGGTGACGGCCAAACAGTTCTATGTTTGACCTGTAAAAGTTAGATGTTTGCCATGTTGAACTAGTATTTCTTTAAGTTCTAGATCTATCCCTGGCATATGGTCTGGCTGTGTTTCTGCTGGCAATATTATGTGTCCGAGCTCCTTTCTTTCATTTCGTAAACAGATTCATGTGAGGACATGATCATTGAAGACTGTTACATAAGTGTGGGGGATGATGCTATTGCAATAAAGAGTGGCTGGGATCAATATGGAATTGCATATGGGCGACCTGCAAAAAATATTCTCATCCGTAATCTAGTCGTTCGCTCTATGGTCAGGTGATTAACTGAATGTTCAATATCAAGTTATTATATTCACCCCAAACATGTTGCTGAATCCTGTGCATTTTTTAAATTGATTATCTTGCATTTTCCCTTTGCATGGTAGCTCTATAACCATTGTGTAGTTGATCCGTTATACTTGCACTATTACTAATGTTGTCTGTGTATCCTTGAATATTCTGCATTCTTTCTCGTGCTTGTATGTGTCTTTCCCTACTTATTGGTTTGTGCACGGGACTGATGTTTAGAGATTTTATATCTGGCGCATTAATTGTTAGATTTTTCGTCTTTTTCGATTCAGGGACACCATGCGTCCTTGAACCGATAACCATCTTTCGGCTAACCTAGCCTTCCAAAATTGTTCTCTAAGGGTGCAATTTCGATCAATTTTCATCTCCTTTAAGTAAAAGCATTGCACATCCTACTATATTGAAGGCCATTCAGCAATTATAGGTTTAATTCCCGTCCATTGTTTCATTGATCTAGTTTAAACAAGAATTAGGAGCCACCTTCAGCAGACAAACGAGTATGATAAATTATTTCAGGTGAATAAGTTTAGGTACAAACTATTCATAAAAATAAAACTAAATATAGGTAAAGTTTCAGAGCTGTAAAGAGATTCAAGTACTTTTCTGTGTGATGGTGTATGTAATTAGTTGACAAGCATATTCTTAAACAGCAGTGTCGACAACAATGTCAATAAGCTCTTGCATGTTATGGTATATCCTCATACCTCGCCATATGCCACAGTGGAGTATAGGAACTGAAGTGAACAAACTCAAGGATGTCTAGTTCCCAATAAATCAGTTTACTTGCGTGCTGAAATTGCAGTTACTCGATTGGCATCTAGGCATCATTGTTGTTTTCAGATTTTCTCCATTGCCTATATTCGTTTATTGCCCTCTAGATGATAACTGAGACTTACTATGTACTCTGTTAACAGTGCTGGAATATCTATTGGAAGCGAGATGTCCGGTGGGGTATCGAATGTCACCGTGGAGAATGTCATTGTATGGAATTCGAGGCGTGCAGTTCGTATAAAGACTGCCCCCGGAAGAGGAGGTTATGTTCAGCAAATAACATACCGCAACCTAACATTTGACAATGTGAGAGTTGGGATTGTAATGAAAACCGACTACAACGAACACCCAGATGAAGGGTACGATCCAAAGGCTGTTCCTGTGATCAAAGACATAAGCTTCACCAGCATCCACGGCCAAGGAGTTCGTGTCCCGGTGCGTATACATGGGAGTGAAGAAATCCCTATAAAGAATGTGACTTTTCAAGACATGTCAGTTGGACTAACGTACAAGAAGAAGCATATATTTCAGTGTGCCTTTGTGGAGGGGCGTGTAATAGGGACCATTTTCCCAGCACCCTGTGAGAACCTCGATAGGTACGATGAACAAGGGCAACTTGTCAGGCGTTCCGCTTCACAGAACACCACAGACATCGACTATGATTTTTGAGTTAAGGATTCATTCCTGCGGTCGCCCGATTCACTGTTAGCATGTACTCCAAATGTCAATGCGTTCAGTTGGTATCCTAGCGATAATATCTGGATGGAAGAATTTAGACCAGTGGTTTGCTGTTATGTTTTCTTGGCATATTCATTACTCCAAAGTCCGCAGCAAATTCTTTCGGTTTCTTGTACGTTCTTTAGAGGTGTATATACAGAAAGCTTCAGTTATAGGTTGACAGGTCGAGTGGAATGACATCAGAGATAAAGCCTATTGTTTTGGCTTGCGAGTGTTTCATTTTGTGTTGTGAAGTGCATTAGCCAAGTTCTTGCTCGTATTTAGTTCAAGTTTTTTAACTTGGATTTGTTCAAGGCATGTTGGAATTTGTCGTGCTCTTCTGCATCCACTAGAGCCTTCGTTTTTCATGTACACCACACGGCCTACTGAGACTCGATTTCACATTTTTATTCTTCCTCCAGTGTGAGTTCTCTGCTGAGGCGTTTGCAGGCTGTATGCAGTTGATCAAGCAGAACTGCAGGGTTTTTCTAAATTTTGAAGGGTATCTAGACTGGACAAAAAGGAAGTTTGCAGGGAAAAAAACCATGTTCAAAGTTGGGAAGGATGATTTGGAACTTGACAGTTGGCATGCTATGGAGGGAACATTGTGAAAGGATGCATGGAGGATGTGGTACAGATCCAAGGGGAGTAGTGGATCGTGTTAGCAGAATCACAAAATTGGCCAAACTAGGGAATGCTACTATTCATGAAACAGTACCGGATATCGTATCATAAAGTAAGTGGTAGGATATTTTATGATAAAATCGTGGTTTAGTTGTAGTTCAACAGTTAGTACCGTTAAATACCGTCTACCGGTTTGGCCTCCGATACAAATATTTCGTGGTTGAACCGTCGGTACGGTACGGTTTCATGGACCATGCTATTCAGGTGAGTTGGAGTAATTTGTAGGAACTGTAAGTCGGGTGTAATACTATTTGATTGTTCGATAGGAGATGGTTTTCTTGTAAGTGAAGTCTTGACCAAGTATAGTGAGCAACTGAGCATGCCTGTCTAGTATTTGCACAATTGTAAGAGTGTTTGTTAATCCCTCTATCACGTGCTTAACATTTTTTTTGACTGCCCATGAAAAAATTAGGGGGAAATTGTTGTTTGAAAATTACAGTAATATCAGTAATTTTGAATCTCGAGGTTCCAAGTTGGATTCCTAGTAACTAAATCGCAAAAGTGAACCTATATCGCCCGTATATTTTTTTTTTAATTTCTCCTTTTAGCCTCATTATCAATGAATTAAAAGGAATTAAAATAGAGGGGTCGTTAGAATCAATAATTCTATTGGAAAAAATTGACCCAATTATCCCGTTTTGAGATAATTGCCAAAATAATTCTTGTGACAGAATAAGATTTAGATGAAATAATTTGATTTAGGCGTTCTTTGGATGGATCAATTAAAAAGAGAGATAATTTGGTTAATTGTCTCATTTTAATAAAACAAGTGAGTCGATTCGAATCACCTGTCCCCACCCCAGACAATTGAAATTCACTCTCAAAATGGGTCAATTCGAAACTCGCCGAACAAGTCAATTTGGTTCAATCGTCTCAAAAGGATCAAATTGTTCCGTTACAATTTCTCATCCAAACAACCCTTTAAAAAGTATTTCGAATTGACTCGATTTTAAGATAATTACAATTGGACTGAAATGAATGTAAATAATTCAAATTGAGAACATTTTAAATGATTTTTTTTTTGTAAAATAAAAAAACTTAGCAAATTATCTGTGTTTTTTTAATTCATCTGTCCAAATTCCAAACAAACAACTACCAAATTCACGTAAAAAACCATACACATCATATAATTGTCTCACTCTCGCTACTAATTGTCCGGTAGATGGCACGCCACCTGGAAGGTCACTGCATCACCACGTTACTTCCGGTGAATTGATCTAGACTTGTTCATTCACTCAATTCAATCGTTCTATTTATTTATTTTTTGTGGCGGAAATCGTGTTCTTCAACCTAGAAGAAAATCGACAGAAATTAACCTCCTCCGACCTCCGGCAGTTCTCTTACCTCACTGCCTCCTCGGAAAAAAAAAATGTACAGAACCGTGGCCAAGCAGCTGCTTCGTGGCGCAAGAAGCCGCGTCTCCGGCACCGATGTCCGTCTCAGGTTCCCAAACCCTCACAGCACAATTTCTCGTCGCACCTTTTCCCCTTCTCCTACGCCTCATAACTCCGGTGAAATTCCAATCCCTCGCGTGTATGTCGATCTACCCAACTCCTCGGAGTCGACCGCCTCTCCCTCATCGTCATCTTCTGCCGGATCATCTTCCACAGCATCATCAGCCGAGGAAGGTCGGCGCCATACGAGGGAGCGACCCCGAGGTGAGTACCAAGACGAGCAAGCTCGAGTGCTTCAGTCCGCTCTTCGTCACGTGGTTGGTACTCCTGAGAAATCCCTTTTAATCAATTTCTTTTTTTTTGTGTGAAGTTTTGCTTTCGAAATTTCCCTAGGGTTTCTCCGAGCAGTCGAGAAACTTAACGTTAGAAGCAATGATTAAGGGTGCAAAGAACCGTTTGTCAAGTTGCGTTTGCGCTTGATTGTGTGTGATAACTTGAATGCTGAATGGAAAAAAGTACGAATGGGGAATTGCAGTTAACGCTGGGATGGACTGAAGATGCAATGATGGCTGGAGCAAGGGATGTTGGGGTGTCTCCTTCAATTGTCGGGTCTTTCCCTCGAAAAGATGCAGCCTTAGTTGAGGTAAACGATTTACTATGGTGAGGCATTGTTTGCATTAGCCTCTAAATACCCACCTGGAATGAGTTTTACTTGTGTTTCGTGAATTTCGTTCGTTTTTTCAGTATTTCATGGATGATTGCTTGGAGAAGCTTATCGATAGAATTGACTCTGGACTGGAGTTCAGCAACTTGTCACCCAGTGGGCGTATCTCCAAGCTTATCAGGATTCGTCTGGAACTGCAAGCTCCCTACATATCAAAATGGCCTCAGGCCCTCAGCATTCAGGTGTCCATTCAATTTGTCCTTTGTTAACTGACGGTTACAAATGGGGGGTCTGGATTGTTCTTTTAATTGATACGCTGCATATTACGTCCTTTATAGGCACACCCATTGAATTTCCCTACAAGTTTTAAGCAACGAGCAGCACTTATTGATGAGATCTGGCATGCCTCTGGCGATGATGGTCATGACATAGATTGGTATGTGAAGCGCACAGTTCTTGGAGGGATATACTCAACAACAGAGATCTATATGCTAACTGATAGCTCACCAGGTTAGATATGATCTCAACAAGTTAGTTCGTATTCAATTCTTTTCGCTCATCCCGCAGCTGCAAGTCTTGATGAAATTGTGGTGACTAACTCAGTGACAGTGGACATACGGGAGTTGTTCCACTTTCACAAACAATTCGTGTATCTTGAACGAGAACCAAAATGGTTTTGTGTTCATGAACATTGGTTGAATTAGCAGTTCCCTTTTGTAAGATGACCTACGGAAGAAAGGAACATTTACCAAATGCTTTTGAGTTTTGGGATAATTTTCTTTTTGTTCATTCTATGTATGATCATCGGTTTTGGGTCTGGGATGTTCTATTCTTTTTCTTTCCCCTTCTCCCTAATGAATCGGGACGTCTGATAAAATCTTGTTGGGCTGTCCTCATTCCTACAGAATTTCGCGATACATGGGCATTCTTGGACGATCGAGTGAGAGATGCCTTCGATCTGAAAAAGACCATTCAAGAGGTACTTTCCTTGTTGGGTGTTCAACGCCGTTTTTGTTACTGAATCCAGGTTGGTAACCTAGTTAGATGCTCTAACATTGAGCTGTGTTTATGGCAGGCAACATATTTGGCAGAAGCTGTTGGTGCTGGAATGGGGAACTCGTTTCAAGGATTTGTCAAGAAAGTTCTTCAACGGTGAAGCCTATTGGGGACATTTGAGTTAAATATCACTCGATCTTCCTTCTGTTTTGAGATCTCCAGCATTATGACTGCTGAAATGCCACATGTAGTGGATTGCCCCATTGAGTACATGACTTGCTACTGTCTTCTCTATTTCTTCATTAATCTGGTACAAGGTTATGTCATGGAGTACAGTTGAATGATAAAATACACATCACACAAAGAATAAGGATTCACTCTTTGGGTCGCCCTATTTCCTGTGAGCATCTACTCCAAATGTCAATGCGTTCAGTTGGTATCCCAGCAATGATATCTGGATGGAAGAATTTAGTACGAAAATAAATACATATCACACAAAGAATACATACTCGCATGAAAAGTACGAAAATAAATCATTAGAATGAAGAAAATTAATTAAAACGACACAACTTCACGAAAATATTAAATTTGTAAGCTAAATATAAATATCCTTCGATTTTGGGGTTTACCCCGATTAGATGGAATTCGAGCGGATATCCATGGTTACCGATATTTTTGCCATGTCTTTGGTATTGGTAGTTGCATAGTCATTTACGAAACATCAATAAGTCTTGTATTAGGTACACACATAGGTAAAAGCAGTAATTATCAGAACTTTATCAAGGATCAAACAATTTAATGAAAAATGCATCAACTAGATATGGACTTTGAGTTCAACAAATCAAAATATTTTAGAATCATCAATTCAACAAATCATAACTAAGTTCCTCATACTCAAATGAGGAGGGAGTTTACTCTATAGAGAGAAAAAAATAAAGAGAAAAGGAAGAAGGACATCATTAACGCTAGATATCATCATATGATTTTATATCTCATCTTTTAAGCTTGTTAATCGAACTCCAAGACCAAGAGTGAAGAAACCGTTCAAAATTTCTTCAAGAACTCTCCACAGTCGTAATCTCTCTCCGGGGTTTATCTCTCTTATGAAAAAAATCACAAACATCTTTTTATACCCGACAGTGGCGAAGTCACGACCAGTGTTTATGCAAAATGCAACATCTCAATTACCCACCTCGGGAAAGTCACAGTCGTGACTCGTGACTACTAGGGAAGTCACGGTTGTGATTTTTTGTTGTACTACTTATGACTTTCATCCGGAGCTTCCATCCATTTTGCACGGTCTTAGCTGGAAGTTTATAAGAGTCGGCCTTGATTTTCAATTTGATTTGCATGGTGTGAGACGAAGGGAATATGACTCGCTACGACACACGCCAAACTACGACCAAAGCAATTTAAAGGTTCTGGTTTTTCAAGTCGAAAAGGAACCACTCAGGTAATGATTCCCCCTAGCGTGCAGTTAAGTCGAGTTGTAATTCACCCAGTCCAATTCAATTCAGATTTATACTGCGGAAGATCCGGACCTAGCTTGAAATCTCTTAAGCTGACCAACCCTCTTAGCCACGTTACCTGCAGACGACTAACCTTCACCGAGACAAACCGCTAAGGCAATGAAAACAGATATCCTCTACTGGAATGACTCTCAGTACAAAGTAATGAATCGATTTACTCTCGCACAATCGATTCACTACTTCCAATTCAAGTTGTTCTATTGACCTATTCAGATTCTATCGTTCTAGGTCAAAGCTGGAAACATACAAGTGTGATTAAGACTCATAGATTTCTGAATAAAACACTCCAATTGGATATATAATCATCAATGTACTAAAAATGGTTCGTACACCTGCTCCTAACATGCAAAACTTATGTCTATTAAAGACTCATTGATCACATAGTTGTGATTTAGATAAGAAATACTAGAGAAAGGACTTAAGATGCTTTGATAGAAGGAAAAAATGTATCAAGAATGAGAAGTGATAAACACTATAAATAAAGAGTCATCAATGATTTGACACGAACAAGTAATGTTCATCGAATAATTTATGGGACTTGTTGTTGACTATGTCTGGAGGAAATAATCCTGAGGATCATACTAATGATCCTAATGATATTGCATCAAATTATAATACAATAGACAAGTCCTGAATACATTTGTGATTCACCACAACTAAGGAACTTGTGATTGTGGACTATGTCAAGAGGAAATGATCATGACGATCTTGAGTGAAAAATTTATCCTAACTATCATGCATCAGATTGACAGTCTTGAAGATTGTTCATAGAGTCTTTCAATGGCAACCTTTGTAAAGCTTGTTGGTGAAATTGGAGATCAACGACTCAAAGAAGTGAACAAACATTGTTATTAGAGGAACACATAAGCCTTGCACTCATTTTCCCTAAATCATGGTTTTTCCACTCATTTTCCTAATAAGATTTTTGATGAAGCAGTCAAAGATAGCGTAATGTGACGGTTGTACTCGTTTATTTTTATCACATTAAGTATTTCATAATAAGGTTTTAACGAGGTATACTTTCATTCAATGGTCATCTAAAGAGGGTGTTATGAATATTAGATGCAAACATTCATGTACAATTAATTGCTACATGTAACCAATCCCCTACATTAGAATTTGTGTTTAATTGTTCATTATTCATTATTATATGCATCAATGATAGAATTGCCTACAAATAAAGTAGTACATATTATATAAACAATACGCATGAATAAAAAAGCTCTATTTCTCCTCGTCTGGTTGTATTTTTTCTCTTCCCACTTTGTTCGTTCATCTTCCCGGCGATTTTTATATACCAATGCAATACTTCTCACAAGAAGTTGAAGCCATTAGGAAAATGTGAACTTCGATGGTTTCTTTTATCAAGAAAGTATTAATTGCAGACTACAAATTTTATAACCAACAATGTGCAACATAATGTTTCCTCATGTCAACAGTACCGAAGACCATTCTTTTACCATGGTGATATGAAAACATTGAAAATCAATACTGAATCTACCCAGAGAGATCCAGGAAGGCAGATTAGCAGAGAACGATACAAATACAAGAGGGAGACAGGGGATGAAAAGGCGGCAAAGTAAAGTGTGTTTTGGGAACTTGAACCCAATATGGCATTGGCATTTGGCAGTTAGCTAAAAGCTGTCATTAAGCAGATTGTCCATGGAAATAGAATTTCTACTGCAAGCCCATTCTTCCATCTCTCACCATACAATGTATATGTATATAAACATACACACACCATCTCGGATCAATGAAGCTCGTCCCTCCCTTGCTTCCCTTACTAAGCCTTTCCCCTTTTCTGTTCTGTGAATCCTTTAGCTGATTCACCACTCTGCCAGCCCATATCTACCTCCTCCAACATCGTTGCAAGTTCAAGCTTCACAAATGAAGGTACCCATCTTCCATTTTTTTGCTTATAACAACATAAACGAACTCTATGCTGTCAAAAAGGCATCAACAGTGTGCTTATTTGCGTCCATTTGACCACAGATACTAGCATGGATGCAACACAAACTTACTGGGAGAAATGGCACAAAGCAACCATGCCGAAATTCTGCAGCGCTCCAACGTACAACCCCCCCAACATAAGATTATCCTCTCTCTCAGATCTGAGTATGCGGTGATCAGTTAGTTGTACTGAATAGTATTTGATTCTGTGCTGTAGGTGATGCAGGGGAACCGGAAGAAACCGGCGACTGGCCTCACGGGTTGCTTGCAATTGGTACACTAGGAAGCAATGGCACAATGAAACAAGCTCCCCATCCAACTTCACCTTCCTGTGGTGCTGCTCATGTTGCTGTAGGAGCTCCACACTGCCTAGATACAGTATCGACAAGAGAGGCAGTCTCAAGTAATACCAACATCAGCAAAAGGTCCCTATCGTTTCTTGTGAAGAAGGTATTCGTTTGCAGGGATGGATTCAGCCTTCCTCCACCTTCTTCTCCTCGTGGTTTGGTGGATCCAGTCCAAACTGACTCTACAATGGAAAAGGTAAAGTACTAGAATGAATCTCCAAAAATCTCACATGTTCAGAAATATCTGTACTTCTGGAATACCTGGATTTATCAATTACCCTTGTCTGATCTATATGGTGTAGATATTGAGGGCCATACTAAACAAAAAGATATATCCTCAAAACCCGCCACCGAATCCAGCTGCTGCTGCAGTGTCAAAGAAGATGTACTTGAAGAACAGACAAAAGAAGCCTTCACAGATTAAAGCAACTGAGATCGAACCGGAGGGTTGTGAAGATCATGAAACTTATCACAAGCTGCAGATCACAGATGCTGATAATAGCAATAAGAATAATAATAATCATGAAAATCCAAGTAAATGGGACAAGACAGATTCAGAATGTGAGTAGTGATGACCTTTCATATGCATATCGAACTTCAAGTCTTCACACATTAGGCTTGATAATCAATAAATATTTCATCTCAGCCCAGGAAGAATCTGAATGTTTTGCACTATCTGTTTCTTTCGTGATTCCATGCAGATATAGTCCTGGAGATATAAGTAACTAACAGCTTCTCGTGTGTGCCTCCTCCCAGCTAAGTGCTGATCAATTTTGGAGACAGGAGATGCAGATGCACTGCTAAGCAATGTCTTTCGTTTCCACTTTTTCATTTTCATTTTGGAATAGCACAGTAGCCAATTGCATAAGCAACGTGCAAGGGTGTTCCACTTTTTGCCACTGGTTCCATTGCCAGTGGTTTTTATGAGAATCAGAGAAACGCCGGCGACCATTTTGCTATTAATAAAAGTTGTAAACTTTGAAGAGAAGTTTCTAGGTACAGAGAATGGAATAAAACATCCATTTGTAAATACAGATACAGAAAGCTCCCAATCTTAGCATTACATTACCATGTTGGAAAACTTCACAAGGCTAGAAGCTATAGATATTCCCTCCGATTATTATCTTCAGCAAAGCTATATATGGAAGTGAACCCAGTTGGTCTCATTGTCAGAACTCTTTTCTCTTCTTTAGTTCTAGGAACTGAGGGAGATACATCATTCGCTGCCATACGTGAGTAAAGAGATGAAAGACTCGTGCTGAGGGAATTTTGAAACAAGCTCAGATCGCTTTGCCATCTCGAAGTCCTGAAACTGAAAAGCGGGTGCACAAGTGCAACCTACCAAGGAGTAGTGACTCTCTTTGTCCCTTGGCTCATTCTTCACAACTGAACCATCGGGGGAGATAGTGTAGTCTTTTGTTGGAAATGCACCAAACCAGATGTTTGGAGGCACAGTATATTGCGGTTGTTGATCGCCAATAAGATCAGGTCCAATGCAGGTTAGTTTGATATTCCCATCTTCACTCAGTTCGAATACCTGGAAAAGAACCAAATGTTCATGAAAAGGCCATATACTAACACTAGACCATCACCCCTAGATCGTCATAACAAAAAAAGGGGCCTTAGATGACCAACATTCAGAAAGGTGTTCTTTAAACCTGAATCTGCAAAGAAGGTGACTCAGAGCAAGAATGGGAACACATACAACACTTAACAAGATCATTAAGCAAACGAAACAAGGAAGCCTAGAACTAAATAACGCGTCCAGTATATGATCATGCTTTGTGATTAAAAGCAAGTTCGATAATAGAGGTAATTGATCCCTTGATAAACAATTCACATGCGATATTTCACTACAAGCAATATTGAACCCATCCACAAAGTTCAGTGCAGTCATTTCATGAATAAGTAGTGTGTAGGGAATTGATTTTGATAATCGCCAAAAGCGTGCATCTATTCTCCCACCATCAATCAAGGAAAGATTAGAATGAGGGTATATGAGAATTTCATTTCAAAGTTAAACGGCAGCAGCAAATTTCACTCATATGAACTAATCCTGATGGATGTTTTAAGTCCGTACCGTCATAGGTTCTCCCAGATAAAAATGCCAGGTCTCTGCACATGGGATTCGATGAAGCGCAGACACACATCCAGAAGGAAGCAAGAAGTAAATAGAGGTGCTCACAGGACGATCAACCTTATCTGCAACGAGTATGGTACTTAGCTATATTGCCTAAAAATGATACAAACATCCCATAGGAAGGCATTTCTCAACTTCCCTTTTCGCCACACAGTATCAGATTGAGATCTTATTGACAATTTTATATGTGCGAAAGCTAGAAAAACCAGTGAGAACAGCGATGCTGAATGGAAGATGGGACAAGCAGAATTGGGGGCGCGCGCGAGAGTAATCTTACAGGTAGACGGAAGGTGAGAGGTGGAGAGCGTCACGGAAGTGTCCCTAAAGGTTTCAGCGAAGAAACCACCTTCTGGGTGCGGCTGAAGATTCAATCTTTTCACTATCTCTGACGCAGAAGCCATCGCCTTTTCGGGGGGCAGAAGCAGAAAGATGAGAAGAGAGTAAGATGATGTACCAGTTGCCGGCTGAAGATTAATTTTATGTCTCCCTGCAAAACCCTAATACCCAGGTGGGGAGAACACGTGTCACTTGAAGAGGCAATAAACAGTCAGGAAGAAATAAAACGTGTCGAGTCCAAATTCGGGGGCCTGACCGACTCGTCCTCCGCCTATCCTCTTCATGATGATTCTTCCTTCCCGAGCTCGGTTCATTTTGTCTGGGTTGGTGGAAAATTCCTGCGTTTGTTCATTCCCACTTCCACGTCGCTCCACAAAATCTAATCTCTGTTCATCGATTTCTATTGGATTGAATTGTGGGTTTCTTTTTCTTTTTCTCTTAGACCAACTAAACAATGGAACCGGAATTGCTTCAAGTGATCGTCAATGGAGGAATCACATACCACCATCTGCACCGACCGGCGTTCATTCTCGGCGGAGGCTTTGCTCTGGTGGCGGTTTCGCTCTCCCTTCTTCTTATCTTCCAGCACCTCCGTTCCTACACCAATCCCTCGGTTTGTATTCCCACTTGTTTCGCTCGACCATCTTTTCCCAGTCTTTTTCTGATTTAGCATTTTTGGGTCTGCTTTGGGTTGGTTTGTTGTTTACGGTGCAGGAGCAGAAGTGGATTGTGGCTGTTCTCTTCATGGTCCCAGTCTATGCCACTGAGTCTGTAAGTGTGTTTTTTCTTCTTTGTTTTTCGTGGGTGGCGTTTCATGTTAAGGTGGGAAGCAGGGAAGTTGATAAGTGTCTAAATCAGACTCCATTGGGTTTTGGCCGGCAGTTGTTATCATTGTGGAACCACAAACTATCGCTTGCTTGTGACATTCTAAGGAATTGCTATGAGGCTTTCGCCTTGTACTCTTTTGGGAGCTATTTAGTCGCTTGTCTAGGTAACTTTACACTGTTTAGATTGCTTGATTAATTAGTTTTCACTAATGCTTTGTTGGGTTGGTTGACTGTTGATTTTTCCTTTATGGGTTTTGGCCAAATTGTTGTTGTGATGAAAGTTGCCCATTAAAGGAAAACTATGGTAGGTGGCGAAGGAAGAGTGTTGGAGATCCTTGAAACTGAATCCAGAAAACAATTAGTGAAACCATTGCTGGAAGGTGGCGAGGAGGAGAACAGTCCACAATTGCGGCGGAAATCTTCTATGGTTAACTTTCTCTTCCACCCTGATCTCATTGGGAGGGATTTGTTCAATATTGAAAGATTCGGCCTTGTCCAATATGTAATCCTCGTTTCAGTACCACTCTGCTATGCCGATTTCGTTTGTCCCCTTGTTGGAAAATCTCAATTATGGTATATCTTGGTTAGCTCAGATGATTCTGAAGACACTTTCTGCGTTCTTGGCATTCTTGTTGGAGCTCTTTGGTGTGTATTGTGATGGGAGGTTCAAGTGGTACTGCGGGTATGCTATAGAATAACCTTTAGTTGCCCAGAATGAATTAATGAAAGACCATTTCAAAAGTGGCATTCGCCCTCTAGCTTTTCTGGATTCACTTCGCCTGATTTGATCTGAGTTGACGAATGCAGGTACCCGTACATTGCAGTTGTACTGAACTTCAGTCAGATGTGGGCACTGTATTGCCTTGTCCAATTCTACAATGTTACGCATGAAAGGCTTAAACCAATAAAGCCACTTGCTAAGTTCATCAGCTTCAAAGCTATTGTGTTTGCTACATGGTGGCAAGGTTTCGGCATTTCCCTGCTCTGTGCCTTTGGAGCTCTACCAAACGACCCCAAATTCAGAACTGGTTTGCAAGATTTCCTCATCTGCATTGAAGTAAGTCGGCAACTGTCTAGTTTTCTTAGACTGCATCATGCGTGACTTTTAGATGTTCAAGGAGCCTTTTAGTTGTAGTTTGTACTTTCTTAGGATTCCAAGAATTTAAGATGAAGCAAAATGATTCGGTATATAATACGAACTTGTAATGAACAACATCATACCCATGTTGTTTCCCTCGGATAGGTAAGAGTTGTTTGTTTGTTCGGATTGTCAGATGGCCGTTGCAGCTATGGCGCATTCATATGTATTTCCAGCAGAGGCGTACCATTATGTTCCCCATTCGAAAAATGGAAAGGCAATAATTGAGACTGCAAAAGAAGAGGTAAAGTTGAGTGGAAGTGGTAAAGAGGAGAAGAAAGAGGCTTTTGTGGAGAAGACTGAAACTCGAGTTGAAGCTGCAGGGACAAGTGTTACAGAGAGTGTGCAAGACATTGTTGTTCAAGGCGGCCAACATGTAAGTTTGTTTGTGAGGTTAGTTCTTTTTCTTCGTGGGTGCTCGACCATTGTCATTAATATTGGAGGTTGCTTGAAACTTTCTTATCAGGTGGTGAAAGATGTGGTGTTGACAATCAACCAAGCAATGGGACCGGTAGAGAAAGGCGTGACAAAGATCCATGAGAAGTTTCACCGACGATCAACAAGTTCAGGACTAGAAACAGAGGAAGAATCAGAAATAGAAGTGGAAAAGCAGTAGTAAGAGGAGGCAAAACGATAACCAAGGTGAGGAGCAAATTAGGAGATCAGGATTCAGACCTCTCAAGAGGGTTTATTAGGTTTTGACTTGTGGATGCAACGTCTTTGAGTATCCTGCTCCTGGATATAGTTGAAGTTTTGAATCCAAGGTTGGTTTATGGTATTGAAGATCCAGTTCCTTTCTGGCAAAGCATTCATCAATTCGTAGTTGGCATCCCTCTGTTATGACTTTCTTTATTCTTTTTGTAATAACTATAATAAGCCCAGTGAATGTATATCTTTTTTGGCTTCGTTAGTGAGAATGGGACATTGATGAAAACCACACACCATGCATACAACACGATTCCTAATTGGGGTTTCAATCATGGATATGCGGATTAAAGAAGTTGGATGTAGAGAGGATGAGACAAGACTGATTTGGAAAGGAAGGTTGTTTCAAAGAATTGTCATTCATTCATATCGACAACCCACCCGCTCAGTTCGATCCGATCCAATCCACCCGCTCAGTTCGATCCAACCCATTTTTATTTATACTAACATTAAGCTAGGTGATGGTTTTATTTTGTACAATCCGTCTCTTTTAGGTTGGGTGCGGATTTTGCGTTACGTAACTCGTAGAACCCGACCCAATTCGTGTTCCAAATACTGTCATCAGTATGTTTGTAAGAAAATTAAAATATTTTATCATATTTTTTCCTCGTGGATTCTCTACCCTGATGCATTCTTCGACTTAAAATTTAGACGTGATTTAATATAGATTATGGTTCACATAATATTTTTGTTATAATTTTAGAAGAATATGATACTATGTGGAGAAAACTAGACATATGTTGAAACAAATTGCATTTTTTTTTTTAATCCAAATAACATCTATGCATTTTGATACTTTTCACCTTAGTTCATTTATTTAAATAGTTGGATTTTTTTGTGTTGGGTTGAATTTTATTTAAAAGATCGTCAACACAACTCAACCCAATTATAATTATTTTTTCGAGTTCTTTAAAGAAAACGGGCGAATAGTTTTCATTTCCCATCTCATGGAAAACCACAAATCATAGGAATCTTATTTGTTTGGATGGATTTGAGTTTAGAATTTTCAAAACCATAATGCATGGGTCGGGTGATTAAAACGAGTAAACCCAGGCCACCCGAACCGTGTATACCTCTACCCGGGCACATATTTTCTGATTCAGATTATTAGGCATGAGATCAAGTGGCCAAAAAGAAGCGATCTTGGCGCACAATTAAGCCAGCAACAATCTCTCGATGGGGGAAAGGAATTGGTTGTATTTTATTTTGGGCAATGTCTATTTTTTACCCAAACCTTTTTCAGATTCTTTTATTTTAATCAAACCTATTGAATTCCTAAAAATTATCCAAACGTTAACTCTCCGTCAACTTTTCTGTTAGTAATGCTGACTAAGTATGACCATAATGAGTTGACTTCCTATGTGACGGCCAGAATACCATCATTTACTATTTTTAATAAAAAGAGTATAAAAAAACAAAACAAAATCCCACCCCTCACGTGGACGAAATAAGTAATGGTAACAGAATGAATGCCCAGACTTTGATAAATTATAATACGTTTGGATAATAAATAGAATTTCTATAGGTTTGGTTAAAATAAAAGAATTTGAAAAAGGTTTGGGTAAAAAATAGACATTGCCCTTTTATTTTCAAGGAAGAATTTTGTAACACCATAGGCAAGACAAAGTACTATTTATGCTCATAAAAAATTAACTTCAACTAACAAAATGCGTTTTGGGTAAAAGGGAGGAGTTCTTGTCAGAACTCCGGAGTTAAACGTATGAGTACACAAAAGATGGATGATATTATGGGAAGTAACATTGATATGCATCCCAAAGAAAAATCTATGAGGATCGACACAAAGTGGACAATATGTTATCAGGGAAGATTCAAGATGTTACAAGTAGTATAATAGCCTCTCTGCATGCCTCTTGAATGATGATGGGACAAACCTCCACAAGGACGTTGAGTCCCAAAGGGGGGTGTATGTAACACCTTAGGTGAATCGCACATCGATAAAGCACGAGAGAGTTCCATGGTTCATAATTAAGAAACCAATCTTAACTGACAAGACACATTTGGGGTGAAATGGAAGAGTTCTTGTGAGAACTTCGAAGTTAAACGTGTTCACTATATATGGAGCACTGCAAGGATGGATGACCTTATAGGAAGTCACATTGATATGCACCCTAAGACAAAATCCTCGAAGGTCTAGACTCTAGATCCAGAGCGAGAAAAGGTTCGAGATGTTACAGATTTGATTGTTAAAACATAGTGAGATGCTTCCTAGACACCAAGAAAATTTTAAGCTTCTTCCCTCTGTCTTTAAGTGGTTGAATTATGATTGAGATTGGTTTGAGGGTTTTGTTGTTATTTTCTTGTCCAATAAGTTCCATTTTATACAAGATAAGGAATACTTGGTTTGCGGCCTAGAAGGGAAATGAGAGGATTTTTTCTTTATTTATAAATATGTGATCATTATTTTATTCAAAGTAAATATAAATATTTCAATTTTAACAAAATAATAGCCAAAAATTTTAAAATACAAAATAATTATCCATCATTAAATATATGCTAGCAGTTCTGTTAAATGATGGTGACCTGGCAGATGTGATGCTGAGGTGGAAGAATTATCCTCACATCATAGTCAACAAAAAAAAAGGCACATCAGCTAGTCACCTTTAACGACTTTTTTATTACTTAATTATTAAAAAAATTGAGAACATGATGGACTGGTCTACTTGTCTCAACCCCATCGTTATGCTCCCTCTTCTCTCTTCTCTCATCCCCTTTCTCCACTGCTTCTAACACCAATCAATAATAAAAGTAGAAAACTTGCACCCTCCTCAGCTTGCTCGCTTATGATGAAATTAGTTTGGAGGAATCATGATCTCTCTAGCTTTCTCGCTCTAACTTTTTCTCTTCCAAGCTCTCTGTTCCTCCCCTTGCTCTGTCTCTTCCACAGCGCTCCCAGACGCAATCTGGATGATAATTTCTCCCTCTTGTAAGAGATGATCCTCACCTTCATCAGGAGATGAAAAGATCTGCCCTCCATGATCCAGCTGCCGGAGAAGTTCAGTTCAACCACTCTACCACTTTTAGTCTTTTCTACTTATTGCGAAGCTTTCATATGTCTTCCAGAAATAGAGAGGGCACCCATCTGCAGCCATTAACACTCCCAGAAATTGAAGACATCCAACCACCACACCAGAGGAAGAATACGAAGAAGGATTTGGCAGATACAAGTCGTTTCAAACCACCATTACTAAGGGGCAACAGATTTCTTGAGCCTCAAAAAGATCTGCAAATCTTGACAGCAGATGATGTTCTCAGAGCATTAAATCCCCTATGCATTAGTACAGCAAGGATGAGAAGAGCAGCAAAGATCGACTACAAATTAACTAGAAAGACGATACCCTCTTTACCACTCATTAAGAGCACCAAAACTTTCTGGCCTCTTTGTTCATTCTACTCTGCTACCTCTCCAGCCTTGAAATCCCTTTCCATTTTGAAATCGAGAAAGATGGATGTTAATGAACTTATCAATCAAGCGGAAGAATGGGATCTGGAAATGTTACCAGATGAAAGCAGGGTAGCCCACAGAAATACCCTCGTCGGGAAGATCTTCTCAGATAGACAAATCAGGAAGCGCTCCATGATTGGTATGATCCGCTCAGCTTGGGTCGACTGCCTCAACCCCAAAATACAAGAGATGCCCATCATCAATGAAACTGGATTCAACACCTTCATGTTTGATTTTGAAACACGAAAAGAGATGGAGGCAATCTGGAAAGACCGTCCCTGCCCAGTTTCAGGCACCCTCATTCATATGAAAAGATGGTCCGGACTAGACAATCCAGAAGGAAACCTCTTCAACAGTGTTGAGTTCTGGGTGCATATCCACAATCTTCCAGAAGCCTATCGAACGGAAGGTAATATTTCAATGGTTCAAAACATGTTTAACCGGCTAATTGAAGTGGCAGGAGTGCTCTGGATGCCATCTGTACATGAAGTTCTTCAGGGTGTTTGTGGAGGTTAACACTGACAAGCCTCTCCCCGACGGATTCTACCTGCGCCATCAACAAAGAAGAATATGGATTGAGTTCAAGTATGAGAGACTGATGACTCTTTGCTACTTCTGCGGCAAAACCACACACACCAAACATGAATGTGACACTAGAAGAATGGTTGGAGGAGTGATTCCCCCCTTACATGATGTATAGATATGAGGACCTTGGATGAGGGCCAGCTCGAACATCTTCTCACCACGATCAATCCAGCAGCAGGAGGCAGATGAAATCAAGAAAAAAGATGTTGCTTCATCTTCCAACTCTCCCATTGGTGGCTCTACCTCGTCTTCACCGGCGAACACCAGTAGGGCAGCCGCCGCTGCAGGGACACATGCTTTTCCCTCATTGGGATTCTCACCAGGCCAACTACAATCCCCCATATCTGTCTTCTCCCAGAACTACCCGTTGCCAACGAACCAATCTTCCCCCACTATCTGCCTCTCACCATCCCAAAACTCCCCTTCCCTTTTTTTCAAAAAGCTTACCCCACTCTGCATCAATTCCAAAATTCCAATGTTCCTCGAAACTTGTTCGGAGAAACTCCAGCAGATAACCACACATCCCTTATCCCCTCCAGCCACCAACCAGACACAACCTTGTTGGGCTCAAACAACCATAGCCCATACCCCTTCCAAGCCCAGACAAACTTCTTTGTCAACCAAACCTATTTTCAAGCTGGGCCAAGTAGATCCCCTAGAAACTTCAAGTCCCTAGCCCGTAACTCCCAACCCAGAAAACTCTCCATTAGCCCAAACATACCCAAAAAGAAATGAAAAGCCACTTCTACACACGAGCTTGAGAACCAGGAAACAGGGGAACTCCATGTCCTGTTTTGACTTCAAGAGACACATGCTGGAAATCATCTTGCCATTTGTAATGAAGAACAAATGCCAGAAGAAGACTACTCTCATGAGAAGGAATCAGAATATACTGAGGAAATGGTGGCCGAATCCAAGCCACCAGAAGCGCCATGAGTCTAATTGCTTGGAACTGCAGGGGTTTCGGGCAGACCCCTACAGTTCGGTAGCTGCGAAAGATGGTTAATCGCTTCCAACCATCGATCGTGTTTCTGTCCGAAACCAAGAAGATAGATTCTTACATGGAAAGGAAGCGGAGGAGGCTTCGTTTTGCCAACCATCACTATATCTCACCGGTGGGACGTGCTGGTGACCTCGCCCTTTGGTGGGTTAGAGATTTATCTATCCAGATTCTAGATAGTAATAGATTTTTTATTGATGTTTTTGTCCATACGGATGGGGGGTTTCTTTATCACCTTTGTCCATGCCCCATCCAACCCCTCTGATCGAAGGGAATTCTGGAACCTTGTCTCCAATCTTAGAG